GGGCGGTGGGCTTTCAATGCGTCTCCCTCTTCAGTTCCATCACGCCTTCCAAGCTGCTCCTGCCCCATCATCTAGTTTCCGGTGGAACGTTTACCTGCAGGAAGAGGGAGGCCTGTGACTTCCACAGAGACTGTGGGCGGATCTAGTCAACCGTTCTCTCAATAGCCAAGCCAGGACCAGCCCCAAAAGTCACTTCTGAGGCTTGGATTTGCTGCAATGTTTTGGGGAGGCTCATAGATGCAAGAATTGAGGGATGTTTAGCTAAATGCAAGCTCTTCTGCAACGATACCAGGAGACTTTAGTATAATACCAAGGGACGGAAACTACAGCTACTAATGCCCACTCCTCTGATCCTTCAGCTGCTCCCCCCCGCAAGTGCTGGGAGCAAGATGAAGCAGCTTGGGGGTGCAAGAAAAGACCCAGAGGCAACAGGGTGTCTGTCCAGTCACCAGCAAGGAACGTGGCTACTCCGGAGAGGTTTTCCTACAGCTTCACCCCCCCTCCCTCCCTCCCCCGTTCCTGCAAACAGCGAACACAGAGACCTGTGCATGGAAAGATCACAAGAGGCTTCCTACCTCTGGTGCAGTTAATCAGAAGCTAAACATTTTCTTAAGTTTAGCTAGGAATCCCTCTGTGCCGTCCCCTGCCTCAGGCCTCTCTTCGCCTGCCCCTGTGCTAGCCGTGCCCCTGCCACCTAGACACAAATAGCAGAGAGCTTGGTCAATACACATCCTTGTGAGAAGGATCCCCGTCTGCCTTGGGCCATTTCCCAGCCTTGGGGGGGGGGGAGTTGAAGCTGAGAAGATGCCTCCCTTCCTCAGGCCGTATTTGCCCAGGACACGAGGAATGTTCAAATGACAGCTCCTGTCGTACTATACATGGTTGCTGACACTTCCTGCACACAGCCACAATTCTGGCTGTCTCCTCATTACGGTTTTATTTCTATCGCTTATCCTTTGGCTTCTCTATTCTTTCACCGACTGAAAAACTATGATCTCAACAAAGGTATGCATTCTAACACACGTCAGTGTCAAGGAGAAACATCTGTGTATGACAGCAGAGCTCCTCCCCTCTCCCTGGTGGGCTTACTAAACTGCTCTGAATGTCTTGGTGAGCATAAAACTCAGGCCCTGAATCCGTGGAAAGACAAGAGTGCTGATGAAATGGAAATCAGCCGATTGCATCTTGTGGGTCACTATGGGGCCGGCAAAGCTCTACAGGAAGGCCAAAAACTGCTCTCAATTGGGGGATTTGTTCCCACTACTAAACCATCAGCCGGCCATGCGGCCAACTCGTGCACTGCACTAATTCCAGGGGTCAGTAAAGTCCACTGCACTGCTGAAGCCCAGAAAACTGAGCAAAGCACAGATGAACTAATGGTGGGTACCCCTATTAGGCAAATACAAGTTAACCTTTACCTGCCTAAGGGGAAACGGCTACTCCATCTGAGTAGAAGGCTGTGCCTTCCAGAATTTTGTAGTTCCACCGCAGTCAACATCATTCAAGGCCACAGTTTACACCACCGGAGCCAGCAGTTCAACTACAATCAAAAGACGACCTGCTAGCCCCAAAGTATAGCCAAGATCTGACAGCTCCACAGCCTCCTCACCAGTGGTTGTGCTGGCGATGCCATTCACAGTCCCTTCTACATCAGCTTCATCTTCTGCATAGCTCAACATCAAGGCTCGCTGGCGATCCGTCAGCCTCCTGCAAGGGAGGGAGGGAGAGGGAGATGGAGAGGGAGAGAGTGCACTAAGTCCGGTCAATGGAGGGCACCGGAGGAAAGCCAGCCTCTCTGGGCACGGAGGTCTTGCAAAAGCGACAGACTGAGGCTTCTCCCTGCCTCAAAGGCCCCTTTTCATGCCACCCATTACCTCTTCTACCATCTCCCCCAAAATGCCCGGTCTTCTCACTCACTTGGGCACTTTGATCTTGATATGAAGGTAGTGGTCTCCATAACCGTAGCTGTTCACTCTGGGAATTCCCTTCCCACTCATCCGAATCCTCTGCTCAGCCTGAATGCCAGGAGGGATCTATGAAAGCACAGGAAAAAGATTAAAGCTTTTCAGATGTTTGTCCCTCAATGCTCCTGAACTCTTACTGTCTCTCGTAAATGTGAGAATCAGCCACCGTTACCAAAGCACTTGTGGGAGTGAACATTCCAAGATTTAGCACCCTGGACTCTACATAGAACATCACAGAAAATGTCCATTTTCTCTTGAAGCAAAATGAGGGCAGGAAACTGAAAATACCAACGGAGCAGCAAATGACCACAGCTGCTGCAGAACAGAAGCACCAATCTGATCCTTTCCATGCAGAAACACAGACAGAGACACAGGAAAGAAACACAGCTTTCCGTGCAAAAGAATAACATCCTCTTCATGCTTTGGGGGTCTCTAATCACAGATGAGCCATTTCCTTGTCCTGCATTTGTGGCAAGGGACATACCAGAACGTTGATCGTCTCATACAGGCCGGGCGACCTTGCTGTCCCTCCAAGAAGAGCTTGTGCTATGGAGATGAAGAGGTCGGAGTGGATATCAGCACCGTCTCTTCGGAACACGGGGCTTTTCTGAACCTGGAAGCAGGGACAGTTCAATGACTCAGCAAGTGCGGGCGGCCAACCAGTTTTAAGCGTGGCATGACGTGGCAAAGCTGCAGGCCGGTACGTACCCTGAAGGTAATGAAAACTTCTTTCCGCCCGACAGGCATCCGAATGGTCTGCCCATCCTCCACACCTAAAGCCAAACAAAGGCACTCAGGGTTACCTTTTCACCCAGCGCTTCGTTTTCCCTTCCCCTCTCATGGAAACTCTGATTCGGAGGCTGAAGACATTAGGATCATGTTCTTAATGCTTGGAGCTGCCCAGCTCTGGTTTCTGCAAGGGCCGATATTCTTCCCTGCTGCTTCACTTCAGAAGAGCAGCCGTCGTCGTTCTGCCCTAGGAGCACTTGGTACATACACACCTGCTGGGACCGGGACCATCACTGTCTTCTTCTGTTTGGTTTGGCCAGAGCCACGACAAATCACACATGGGTTAGTTACAACTGAGCCACGCCCACCGCACCGCCGACACGTTGAACGCATGACGAACGGGCCTGTGTTGATGGTCTCCTGTCCAAAAGAAGAGGAAAGGTGAGGTGCCAGGAAATTTCATTCTGTTGTAATGGCTTCTCCACCTCCTCCTCAGAAAATAAGGGGTTGCGGCAAAGTCTCCAAGCAGGGAGTGAGGAGGCAGATGGGGGGGTGGGGGAATTGGACCCCAGTCAGCACATCATTATCAGGACCCATAACTGTCTGTAGCAAGGAATCGGCTTTCTGAAGCACCGAGGTGGCCAGTCGTTCCCTGCACCAAAGCTTGCCGACACCTTCCCTGCCCTTACTGTGCCAGTCCCGTTGCAGTAGGAGCAATGCACTACTCTGGTGCCCGGTTCATGCCCTTTGCCATCACAGCGCTGGCAGTTGTCATTGATGTTCACTGTGATCTGCTTGTTGACGCCCTTTGCTGCCTGGCTGAATGTCAGATCCATGATGTACTACAGAAGAGGGGGGAAAAATCAGTGTTTGGAGCTCATAGTTCCAAGCCAACATTTTGCATAACATGTAGAACAAAAGAAAAAATACAAATCTGTCTAGATTGAGAAAAAGTACTCTGGCACCTTTCAGAAAATTAATTATATGCATGAAGAGGGAGAGGGGCATTTTGGTGCAATGATTAAGGCACTCCTGTTTGCAGTCGTGCCTTAGGCACAGAAGCAGCGGGTGACTTTCAGGCAGTCCTTCTCTCTCAGCCCTAGGAAGAAGGCAAAGAAAATCTTGCCAAGAAAACTGCAGGGCCCAGTCCAGGCAATCACCAGAAGCCAACTCTTTTGCTTTGTACCAAAGCAAACCAACCAACCAAAGAGACCAACACAATACAAATCAAATTTGCTAATCATAATAAATCACAAATCAAATTTGTAACCGACTTCTTCACACTATTTTCTCTTGAAAACACACCTTTAACATATTTCTCCATTATTGTTTCCCTCTTAAAATCTAAATATCAGAAAGGACAACTACGGAATTTGAATAAAAATACTGTTCAGTCTACCATGAATGTGGGTAAAATCATTGTAATTGGTAAATGCACCTCTGATTCCCTTCAGATAGCAAAACCTCAATTTGAGTGATCATTGAGGAGTGAATTTATCTGTTAATTGTGAATATCTGGTAGTTCCTAAAGATTCGTCATTTGCATAGGATTTCTTATGCAGATGTTAAAACAGGAGGAGTGAAAGGCCTAAGGGAGTAGACACACCAGCGGTCTGGGCTGCAATTCATCTTTACCTCCTGGGGCTGGTCAAAGACGGTGCTAAAGTCTCCAAAGGGGGACTGCGAGAACTCGCCAAAGATCTTCCTGAACAGCTCCTCAGGGTCAATGGTTGGGCCAGTGTGCCTGTACTGCTGCCCGGAACCTGCCGAGCCAGAGCCGAAGCCAAAGTCCGCTGTACCGTAAGCATCATACTGCTTCCGTTTTACTTCATCTCCCAAGACCTACCAAGGACACAAGAGCTCAGTCATCTAGGGGATCCAGTTCCCAAGCCGTGAAGAAGGGAGGTAAAAGGGAGGACCGTAAGCATGTTACCTCGTAGGCCTCAGCCAATTGAGAAAACTTTTCCTTTGCTTTAGGGTCATCCTTATTGGTGTCAGGATGATACTTCTTGGCCAGCTAAGCAAAGAAACAAAAACACAAAAGTAAAAATTGTGGACAAGAGATTGCCATTCCTGTCTGGGTGTGTTGGGAATTCATGCAATGAATCGTAAATCAGCTATACTGAACTGTTAAAATAAGTTTTATCTTCTGGGGTATTTTGGCTCACATAGTATTTTAGATAAGAAAAAAGTTATTTCATTTCTGCCACAGATCATAATCATATGCACTGAGCACCACACATCTGTAGTGCAGTTCAGAATCCTTAGAAGTAACGGCCTTGCAAAAGCCGAATTAAACAAAAGAGGGTTTAAAGCAACAGGGTAAATCTCAGTGGCCTTCATCAGCAATAGTAGCCAAGGAACACAACTGCAACCTTGCTGGATCAGATGCAGCTCTTCCTATTCCAGCAATTTGCCCACAAGTAGCCAGTGAAGTGCTCTGGGGATTGTGCCCCCTCCTTCCCTTTGGTTCCGCAGCAAACACTTAGAAATCAGCCTGGGAATGTCAGAATAATCCAACATTACAGAATGGATTCCCCAAGCGCTACTCTTATATGACAAAACCTCAGTCACAATGGGAGGCTGCCGTTTATTTTACCTCTCCTTTGCTTCCGAGTACATGAAATGAGTACAGAAATATAAAGGAAGCAGCTTTTAAGCAATTACTAGCCCCAAATGATGGAGGCAGGGTTGAGAAGGGGGCAGGACGCGATGCCAGCCCTAAAGCCGGAGAGGAAAGAGACTCGCATGCAGGATGGGTAGGAGGGGGCTCTACTGGCCAGTGCTATTTGCCCCCTTTTGGGCAGACACGCGCTGCCCCGCATCCCCTCTGAGAAGCCGCCGTGCCTGGTAATAGGCTTTCTTGATCTCCTTCTGGCTGGCGGAGCGAGGCACTCCCAGAATCTGGTAATAATCCTCTTTGCTGCTGCTGGAGGAGAAGGAGCGGCTGGTGTGGAAGGAGGCCGCCCAGACGAGAGGAAGCGGTCGGGTTCCTGTGCAAAGCGGAGCAGAGGGCGGTCAAGGCGGCTGCCGGCGCCGAAGGAGATCGGATCCCCCCGCCGGCTGCGCCAAGGCCGAGCCTAGTGAGCCGAGCCCCCCGGAGGCCTCCACGGAGGGCCCGGCGTCGACTGGCCGGGCCGGCGAGAGGAGCTCCTCCTCGGAGGCGCGCTTGCCACTCCCGGGGCTCCCCGGCCTCTTACCGCAGTGGTTTCCCACCCGCGGCGCCAGGGCCGCGCGAGAGGCGACGGGGGCCACGCTCCGCCAGCGGGCAAGAGCCAACACCAGCGCCAGGCGTCGCGGCTCCCCGCCGCCCGCCCGGCAGCTCCCGGCAGCGGTTGCCGCCTCAGCCAGCCAACGTGAGACGCACCCGGCCGCCATCTTGCGTTGCTCTGCCGCAGTGCGCCTGCGCTCGCCAGCCCGGTAAGCCGGGAGTCCGAGTGCGCAAGCGCGCAGTCCCGTGGTAGGAGAGGGCGTAGCCGACCTTTCTCGGAGGTCAATCCCGCCGATGCTGACAGGCTGCTCCTGGGTCCTAGTAACCCCCCCTGTTCTCGGTCGAGGCGCGGGGATGGGTTTGGTGGCTGCAGGCTGCGTGTCCGGAGCGACCGTCTGGAGGCGGCTGCGCTCTGGACTCCGGCTCTGCGCCCCTGCCTGCCCACCGACTCCGCCCACAGGGCTCCCGCGAAGCGGTTCTGGCCACTAGCCCAGAGGGCGGTCATTGGTCGGCGTCCTTCAGAGGTGCGGGGAAAGGCGCTTCGGCCGCAGCCCCCGGAGCAGGGCTGGCCAGGGGGAAGCAGAGCCGGAGACCAGGCGCGGTCTCCTCCTTAAGCCCGGTGGGAGAGGGTGGGAGCGCCGCCGGTCCAAGCGGAGGGCGGGCTTGGCCGAGGCAGGGACCGCGCAGCTGCGCTCCACCCCGGGACAGGTGGGAGCTGCTTCTCGCCTTTCGCCACGAGCCTCCCTGCCGGAGCGGAGAGAATCCCGCTTTGCGAGCTCGGTGCTAATAGTGGAAGGGGGTTATATGGTTGGGAAGGGCCCCCATTGAAGGAGCCGCAGGGCCGGCTGGGGACAGAGCGTCCGTGGGGTGGGCAGGAGGCGCCCGCGAAGGAGGGTTTTTGGGTGGCCCCTGCTGGCCTCCAAGCCGCCCTTCGGACAGACGCCCGGCCATCGGGCTCCCTGGGGCCGAAGGGCCGCTGAAATCGCCGACGGAGAGCCAGTTAAAGAGTCCCAGAAGCTGGTCTAGAGAGAAAGCCGGATAAACGGGGGAGAAGGGCTGGGGAAGCCGTCGGAGGGAGCGGCCGATGCGAGGCTCCTCAGGCGGCCTCGAAGTCTGGCTGGCACTGCGCTTGTCCGGTTCGCAGCTGCCGGGAGTAGTGCTCAGCGCGGCCCCGCCAGAAGCCCCTTGCAGCCGTGGCGGCTGGACACGGGCTTTCAGCGGGAGGCTGCTCCCCAAGAAAGCGCTCCTCCCGCCTGGTTGATCGGCCGTGGCTTTCGGCTGCGCGACGCCGCTGAGCCTGTGGCGGGCGGCCCCTCCCCTCGGAGGCTTCTGGGGCCCGCGTGGGCGCGCCGAGGGCGGGGCCTCCGTGGAATCGGACCGAGGCTGGACGGCGGCGGCGGCGGCGGCGGCATGAGCCTGTTCAGGGTGTCCAAGTTCCGGCACGCCGAGGCCAAAGTGGCCCGCAAGGAGGTGGGTGGGCGGGCGTGGTCGTCAGC